AGAGAGAGAGAGAGAGAGAGAGAGAGAGAGAGAGAGAGAGAGAGACAGAAACAGAGAGAGACAGAGACAGAAACAGAGAGAGACAGAGACAGAAACAGAGAGAGACAGAGAGACAGAGAGAGACAGAGAGAGAACATTACGAGTTATGTTTGGGTTCCTAAGAAGGCCCTGAGAGACACAGCGCTGGCCTGCACACTCTGCTGCATGCAGTGCCTGGCATGCAGCAGGTGCACAAGACCGTCAACTGATAGTGGAAAGCAGGAAGGCACAGGAAACCCAGAGTTCTCCGGTTCCTCTGTCTCAGGCCCTGAAGAGCTAAACTGCCAGTCCCACCAGATCGAAGGAACCAGAGCAGAAACATCTGAGAAATCTACACCAAGAGAGGTGAGCTCCATCAACAGAGGCTTAACTGTGCATGCTGGCAGGGTCCGGAGAGATGCCTGAACCACCGTGCCTTTCCCAGCCTCAGCTGTGCCCAGGCACTGTGCCCAGGGATTCAAGAGTTAGGTGTAATGGGGTAATCTGAAAGGTTCGTGTATTGTCCACAAGCAAGCCACAGGGCATCATAACCCAGTCTTCAGCTGGGGGAAATGGGAAAGGTTCTGTGGACTATCCACAAGCAGCTGTACATCTGGCACAGAAGGTCCCAAGGGTGCTAGCGTTCCCAACCCTGCTGCCATTCTCCCTTCACATCTGGGCTTTGCCAAGCAGGAAAGCATGTTCTCTTATCTCTCATGAACCCAGGTTTCCACCAATATAGACATTAGAGTCAGCCTCTTCCCTCCCACCACCAGGAGCAATCATTGTTTAGTTAGAAGGGAGAAGAAGCTTCAGATTGGAAGACCCAAAGTAAACCAAGTTGGTCAGACATGAATCATTTGCTGCCTGCCCGAGCTGATTCATATCTATTCGGCTGTACTTTTCCAAATGGCAGTCTTCCCTGCGTAAAGAGGATGGATGATGAAGAGGAAGAGGATGAAAGGAGAGGGACACCTGGCCCTGGTGGGAGGCAGCAGCCTACTTCCTCCCTCCTTGGACAAAGTTACAGAAATTGGCTTCTCCTCAGAACCTGACATAGGAGGCAATCAAGAATCAAGAAGTTCTTGTTTCAAAGAATGATACCCAGCCGGGCGGTGGTGGCGCACGCCTTTAATCCCAGCACTTGGGAGGCAGAGGCAGGTGGATTTCTGAGTTCGAGGCCAGCCTGGTCTACAGAGTGAGTTCCAGGACAGCCAGGGCTCCACAGAGAAACCCTGTCTCAAAAAAAAAAAAAAAAAGAATGATACCTTCGTCCAAGAAGGAACAGGGAATTCCCCGTGTAATAAACCTAGCTCATGCTCATAGCCTGGTCAAGAGTATTTCTTTCTCAAAGTATTCATCAGAAAGAAGGAATAGGTAGTTTTATTGTCTCTACTTCTGAACATCCGTGAAATTTTCCACTGTGCCTTGCACAGGTCTCAGTCTCAAGGTGGGCATGGCAGCAGAGACACATGGTCCCTCCCTTACAGGGGAGAGTAGGAAGGAAGTAAAGGCCCAGATGTAAATAACCTGCCTGAGGTTGGCACAGTGTGGATCAAAGTTTCAAACAAAGGCTTGCTTGATGCTGGAATGCATGTTCCCACATACCGCTTCTTGGGAGTATGTAGGGGACGTGAGGGGAGAGTTATGTGTTAGCATGTAACTCCACATGGAAGTAGTTAATATTATCAACTCAACAGGAATGTAGAATCACAAGCTTTTTGGACCATCTGAGAGGGAGTCTCTAGACTGTATCAACTGAGGTGGGAAGATTGACCCTAAATGTGGGTGATGCCATTTCAAGATTTGGGGGGTCTAAGCTGAATGTAATTGGGAAGGCAGCAGGGCAGGAGCAGTCAGTTCCTCCTGCTTCCTGACTGCAGATGCAGTGTGATAGCTCCCTCAAGCATCTGCCATGGCCCTCAACCTGCTGGCCAAAACAAACTCCACCTTCTTTACGTCGATTTTGTCTGACATTTTATCACAGGGACAAAGAAATGTAAACCAAAAGAGAAGTCTTTACTGTTTCCGTTTCCTGGTTTCCTGTGGGTCCTTGAGAAAGAAGGGCTGTGCTGAGAGGAGAGCTGCCAATCCTAAGGAGACCTTCCTTGTGAGGGGAGGAGGGAGAGCCGATGCTGTTAGAGGCACAGAAGGATAAGCAGATGTGGAATTCACAGACGCGATGTGGAGCCTGAGTCTCGGTCCTCCCTCTCTTTGGACCTGCATGGACTGGGCAATTCTGGGATCCCAGCAACCTCCACTCTTACAGACTGTACTGCAACCTCGCCACTCCGAGTTTGTTTTAATATGTCTGAGAAACAAAAGTCTTCCCCTTGGCTTATTCATATGTATTAATGCATGAAGGAAGGAACGGTCTGTATCTTCTGAAGGATTTCCTCTACCTTTTTCTTTAAATATAAAAGATGTAATAGCCCAAGGATCTCCATGTACTCCTATGTCCACCCCCTCCCCTGAGCTTTCCATTGTATCCATCCTACCAATGGGACCCTGGCCGGCAGTACCATGTGCTGACCCAGGACCTTGCTCTATGCTGCATGGCTGTTGGTTGATTTGTTTGTTTGTTTTTTTCTATTGCAAGACAGAATCAAAACACTAGCTTGACAGAGTCCCCTGTAGACTCAAGTTTTCCCACCTCAGACTACTGGCTGCTCAGCAAACTAATTATTCAAGTGTGTTCACCTGTCACATCCTCATGCGACTGTCCTTCAGCCCCTGTGCGCCCTCTCCTCGGGCCAGTCATCAACAGGGTGACTTTCCACAGCATCTCCTCTTAGGCCCACCACTTCTCTCCCTTCCTCACAGAAGAGTCCTCTTTCCTTCTGGAATCCGTCTCTTAGCAGTCCTCCCCGCTGCTGATCCTAACCCGAAGCTCCTCCTTCTTGCTGCTTATGTTCTCCGCCTACCTCCACCCCAGGGTTTGTTCACATCTTGTTTCTCTAAGGCAGCATTAAGATGCACACAGATTTGGATTCAGGAGGTGTGAACTGAAGCTGGAGGAGTTATATCTTGCCTCAGTGTCTGTGGATTGTACCTCAGTCAGTGAGCTCTCAGGACATTCGTGTTCAGAGGGTATTCCCAGCCTGGCAGCCTTCTAAGCATCGCCTTGGACTTAGAAAGGCGAGTGCCCGGATCCCACTTCGGCCTTGGAGACTCAGAACCCCAGCGATGTGAGGCCAGCAGTCTGTTGCAGCAAGCTCCCAGGAGAGTCCCACACATCTTAAGTTTGCCAGCCACGTGGCTCAAAAGCTTTACACCTGAACTGTCAAGACAAGCAGGCAGCGTGGGCAGTCTCTTTCAGAGTGTACTTTGCAAAACCTCGACTAAATTTAGAATTACCCAGGAGAGTTTCTTTCTTTTCTTTTTTCTTTTTCATTTTAATGTAGCTACCTTAAAACATAAATAATAAAAATTAAGGAAAAGAAAGAAAAAGAAATATAGCTACCTTAACTTGCCTAAATCCACTAATTCCTAATTTGAATAAGACCCAGACACTGTATTTTAACAGAAAGTGTAGAGCAGCGGTTCTCAACCTTCCTAATACTGTGGCCCTATAATACAGTTTCTCATGTTGTACTGACCTCCAACCATAAAATTATTTTCATTGCAACTTCATATTGTAATTTTGCTGTTATGAATTATAATGTAAATATCTGTGTCTTCCGGTGGTCTTAGGCAACCCCTCTGAAAGGGTCATTTGACCCCCAAAAGGGTCAAGGCCCACCCATTGAGAACCACTGGTACAGAATATGGCAGAAAGTTAGCTAGAGGAAGTCTCAGAACATAATGTAGGGAAGAGACATTGGTTAGCCCTGGAATCAGAAAGACCTGGGATTGAATTGGACACTCAACATATGACTACAGGCAAATCATAATTTCTTCCAGTTTCCATTTTCTTACCTGTAGAGTGAGACTACCACTTGCCTCCTAAGGGTCTCTGTGTATAATTAAGTAGCAAGTGTACCTGAACATCAAACCCCCTGCAGTTTCTAGTCCTACCATGGTAGTTTAAATGAGAATGATCCTCAGTGGCTCAGATGTCTGCTGAATGCTTGGTCCCCAGTTGGTGGCCCTGTTTGGGTAGCCTTAGGAAGTGTGACCTTGTAGAAGGAAATGTGTCATTTGGTGTAGGCTTTGGGGTTCCAAGGCCTGGCACTGTTGTTTCCTGCTTGGAGTTCAAGATGTGAGAGAGAGCCCTTAGCTTCTGTTCCAGCCACTGTTTGTCTGTTTCTTACCATGATAACTCTCATCCCTCTGGAAACAAAAGCTAAATAAACTCTTCCTTCTCTAAGTTACATTCATTGGTCGTGGTGTTTTATCTCAGCAATACAAAAGTTACTGATACATCTACCTTCTGTCTACTGACTAAAGCTCCTGAAAGCTCTGGGACTGTAAAACCTGAGGACCCAGAACAAAATGGATTTTACTATCAAGATCCATACAACTCTGCTATTCTTGGAAGGTTAGGAATAGCATGAGGGAGCTTTGGGATGAAAACTCTTAGGGCCCAGATCCGTCAAATCTAATGCATGCTGAACCTCCAGCCAGTCTCCAGGCAGAACCACACCTAA